CTTGAACATTTAAGGGTTTCTGGGCTTGGGACAAAAGGCACATCTGGATAAGATCAGAAAGCAGGCCAGGGCTTAACAACTAGACACATTTTAACTGCTAATATTTGGCACTAAAAAGAGAAGAGCTTACAGCAATCTATTCTTAACCCTATCCTACCTTCTGAACTCACTCCCTTAATTACACTGAGAAGTCTTCACTGGGACATCCCATTCAGAACCAAAAAGCACCTGCAGTTTTCCCAATTCCCTAGCGCCAATAGAATTGATGGAATACAGCATGCGCTTCTACATAGGGCATCCATCCTTGTCCTCTATGCTTCCAAAGGTGTACCGAGATCCATGGCCTTGAACCAAACCAGTGGACCGAAAGCCTGAGAGCATCAGGCCCGAGTGTGAGACAGGCTCATAAGTGTCTGCCTGAAAAGCACCTGCAAGCCTTCCTAGGTGCTTGGAGAGTAACCCCAACTGCAGAGCAAGAAAGAAGATGGGGGAGACTTACATACCCGCATACCTTACATACCATACTTACACACCAGTGTTGACTGGATAAGAACTTGTGGTTAGACAGTTTCCATGTACGGGCCACTAAAATGTTGAGGGTTAAGGGTTTGGGGATGCTGGAACCCCAAAATCATAACATGTGGGTCCTGCCCAAAAGAATTTGACCCAAGCCTGCTTTTACCCAAACACAAGGTTTATTAGAACATCCATCATATTGGCCAGACTCTTAAGGAATCTGAACAGTGGCTAGATTTTCAGAATTTGAGCCAATATAACTCTTAAAACCACAAAATTAAACTTTCAAATCACCATGTAAAAAAAGGTGGATAATTTTCACATTGAATTACTAATTTGCATAATATGATTATAAAAAAAGGAAGCTCCTTTTGGGCAGTTCCAATATTTCTATTTTTTTCAGTGTCTAAAAGCACAATTCCTCCAGTATAGTAGGCTATTGGTAAATACTTATGATTGTTGAATATAAAACCCTAAATGTACTTGAATACAAAAAAAAATCAAACTTTAAGACAATTCGATCCTATGATGTTGGTGACTGGGCTATGTTGATGAGAAAGCTGTTTTCTTTTTCTTTTTTTTTTATTAATTTATTTTGATTTATCAACAGTCACTTCCATAAGCTTTTGAGTTTTCAATTTTTCTCCCCGTCCTTCTCCACCTTCTTCCCCAAGACTGTGCACAACCTGATAAAGGCTATACATATACATTCCTATTAAACATATTTTTACATTAGTCATGTTGTAAGGAAGAATTAGAACCGATAGAAGGAACCACAAGAAAGAGGAAACAAAACAAAACAGAATTTAAAAAAAGAGCAAATAGTATGCTTCGATCTGCATTCAAACTCCACAGTTCTTTCTCTGGATGTGGATAGCATTTTCCATCTGGAGACTTTTGGAAATGTCTTAGATCCTTGCATTGCTGAGAAGTGCTAACTCCATCAAGGTTAGTCATTCAACAGCGTTGCTGTTACTGTGTATAACGTTCTTGTGGTTCAGAAAGCTACTTTCAAGACCACAGTTTCATGAGATACTTCTTTTGTGACATGGCTGATTTGCAAATTTGTTGTACTTGCCTTCTTGTCAGTTACAAGGGAGGGTTTTAATGGGAAAGGGAGAGTTGTAGGAGAGAGAGGATTAATACTAGGCAGAGAAAAAAAGGAGCACCAGGGAAGAATTTTTAACAGACTCAAGAGAAAACAGACACCATTAGACAACTTTGGATATGTGGATTATACTTAAACAGAAACAAGTTTCATACAATGGAGATTTGGGTTTTTATGTGCAAGTCTCCTTTTCTATTCTGTGTGAGCAGCAAAAAGCCTTACCAAAAATTACACGAAACATTGTTTGAACTGGGAAGAAACTTTATTAATGTGCCAGGAAGGCTGGGCATCCCATGCATGGCAGCACACATGTCAAACAGATACATACCTTTTTATTCCCTATTCTGGATTCTAATTTCCCTCCCCTGTTTCCCCATGGTTGTATAGTACAGCAGTTACAGCCTATGCAAAGGGCCTCATTTCCCCATGTGAGGCTCTGCCCCTAATTACATCTCTCACTCCCCACAATTTGGGGACCCAGGCCTGCATCTACTTCACCTTTATTAGGAAACACCCTTTTTGATGGTAACCTATACCTAACCTCAGAACTGGTTTTTGGCCAGTTAGTCTGTTCACCCACCAATAGTGTTTTCTAATTTTACTTTATGGCTTCTTTGTTCAACTTCCACCTAACCCTTAGATTACTTTTGTGGAAATGAAAACTAGCTATTTCTCACATCTGTGTTTGAAAATGCTCGCATTTGTTGGTACTTGTGAAGTTCATAATTAAAATGACATTTTATTTTTTTTAAAATGGCATTTCAAATCCTCTCAAAATTAGAGTCCAAATCTGAATTTTATCAAGTACAAAAACTATATGATAAAAAGTTTAAAATCAACAAAATTCTAGAAATATCATACTGTAACTACAAAACCTGTAAATACATTATGATGTAATTGTAGACAGTATATTCTGGGTCTGGACTCACCATCCCAGAGTCAGTCTGGTACATCCCCTCAGGATCCTAGAGGCACCCTGAGAGAATTTAGGTTTCTCTTAATGACAGTCATGTTCCCCTTTCACTGTTCCTTTTCACCAGTTACTATCAATTAGCTTTTACAAAGGATATTTACTATGAAGATATAATAATAACAAAAATACAAACTTCCCCCTCAACACTTCAGGGAAACACTTTCTCCTATACCATCTATTCTTTGGGAAAAGTCGTCTCAGACATAGCATAGTTCTGTGTAATACGGGTCCCTCCACTTTCATGTCCAGGTTTATCATGACTCCCAGATGAGTCCTTCTCTCAGCTTCCACTGAACTGGGTCCTTAAGGTTGCTCCCAAAGGCCACTCCCTGCAGTGATGCTGGGATGGATGCAAAACTTGTCATGACTCTGACTCCTAGACCCTTGGTAGCTCACTCTCCTAACCTTTCAAAACTTACCATGTTGGAGCCTTCAGATTAATCTTCATTGACTAATTGAAAGAACAAATACTGAGGCAGATATGGGGACAAAAATCTCCCTGAATGACTAAAAGAGAAACTGAGGCAGAGCTCTGAACCAAAGCACTTTATTAAAGGAACCTGGCCTCGTCTAGTGAAGTGGACTCCAGACCTTCTTCATGGCCTTCGATACCCCCTCATTCCAGTGCCTCATTTTTTATAAGCTTTAATATCAGATTTATTACCCAAACTGTCTAAAGTATTTATATAAAGTACAGAGTCCCATTGGTTGACATATGACACATAAACTAAAATAAGTAAAAAATGTTATGTCAGCAGGGTCACAGATTGAGTGAAGCAAGGAATACCTTTTTTGACTAGATGGTCAGAAGATGGATGGGCTGCTCTTTAGGTTGGGCAAGAGGAGATGATATGACCTATATATATACATTCCAAGACCATATGGGGGGACTGAAGTAGTAGCCTTAGGAAATCCTGGTTGGGTTGGTCCACTTTAGCCAAGGGTGCTAAAGACTGTTACTTTTCAGTTCCATCCCTAAAATTAATTCATTAGGTTTAACTGCTCTTTAGCCTCATTTTCCCTTAGCCAAGGGTAGAATATGTGCCTGAACTTGAGAAAGAGACTAAAGGTAAGGAAGGGGGGAGTGCAGCAAACCCTAACCTGGTTGCTAGCCTTTCTCTTTGACAAGAATGAGAAAGCTGAGACTCCCCTGCTGAAAACTCAGTCAGTCCTGCTTCCTTCCTGCCCTAACCCTCTAAAAAAATTGTCCCCTTTCCCCTTACCTGAGGGAGGGGAAAGGAAGGCAAGAAGGAAATAAGGAAGGCGGTGTTGCCCAACTGTCCAGTTCCAGTTTCGGCTCTAGTAGGCAGCTCCTTTTCTACCCAAGGTTGTTGTTTGAAGCCAGAAACAGAACTTGGTATGGATTAAATCAAGGAGAGTCAGTAAGAGAAGTAGAAATCTAAGATGATGGAGGCTTTGAATACAGATATCTGGGAGGATGTTGATGCTAACAAGAGAAATACATAAGTTAGGAGGAAGTAGAAGTTCTGAGAGAATGATGAATTTTGGATTTAAAACTGAAAGTGACTTTAGCAATCATCTAGTTCAACCTCAGTTTTATAGATGAAGAAACTGATACTGAGAGACATTAACATTCAGGTGGAGATTGGCAAAGTCAGGCCACTGGGCAAAACATAGTCTATGTGACCCCATATTTTAATCTTGCTCAACCTTTTGGTACTTTGGCTCAGCCAGACTGCAGGACAGGGTGAGGTTTTCTTTAGACTAATCCCATCACTTGAGGACTATAGACAGTTCTTTACCCTGGCAGACCTTTGCTGTAATTTGAATTTGTCCTAGGCCTTAGGCCCATGAAAGAAGGGGGCTGGCGCGTGCTCTAAGGACACATAGGGGCTAGGCAGATATGTGGGGGTCAGACATGGACACAGACAGGTGTGAGAAAAATCTGAAACAAAAATCTACAGGAATGAGTGAAGGAAAGCCTTTGTTACGCTTCTCATGAGAGAAGCAGGCACATGGGTGCTGATTCAGTGGTACAGTCAACTTTTAAATGGGTAGTAAGATCCATACTCCACCCACCAGGGCTAGGTTGGTCTGGTTCATCTGAGTTACATTCTTCCCAGACAACCCATCACATGTTCTTCCATGTTCCTCCTTGTCATGTTAGGTCATGCATCTCATGATGAAAACTGGCAGCTATCTCCATCCTTGGGGTGTGTCAGTTAATATTTAATAAGCTTATTAAACAAGCTCAGTGGAGAAAAGCCTTTGCTTTGTTGAGGCCCCATCCTTCAACCTGATGTGTTGCAACCAGTTTGGTGTCCAGGGCTCTTTCTTCAGTAACTCCTTATTTATCAAATGTGTGGTGTCACTTTCTGATTGGTTGAAGGACTAGCCACAATATCTTGGAATTCCTTAGAATCCCCTTGTTCTGTTGTAGAAGCCTAACATCATCCTTTCTTACACAGAAGAGGCCAGGGGACAGGTGGAGCCCAGGACAGGTATTTAGTACCCAAGGAGAAGATTGACACCTTGGGATCAGACATTCAGTCAGTGGGCAGAGAGGGGCAAAGGTCTCCTCTCTTGGCACTGGAGATCTCAGCAGCAGCCACACTGGTGGAGGTTTCTCTGCCTCCTTTCTTCTGCTTTCACTTGGAGCCTTTTTTTTTCTTTTGGTGGGGGTGGAGAGGCTTTGGAGCACTGACCTGAAGGGCAAGAGTAGAGAGAGAGCATATTTATTGTGTAGTAAAGTTAACATTGGTGTTTCTGGGGAATTCAGATTTCTTTCAGGATTCTCTACATAAAGTTGAATTTGCTCAATGTGAATTTTCATAAAGCTAGAAATTTCTCTGGGGCAGCTAGATGGTGAAGTGGATAGAGTACTGTGCTTGGAATTAGGAAGACTCATCTTCATGAGGTGAAATCAGGCCTTAAACACTTACTAGTGTGACCCTGGGCAAGTTAATTCTGTTTGCCTCAGTTTCCTCAGCAGTAAAAGGAGCTGGAGAAGAAAATGACAAATTAGTATCTTTGCCAAGAAAACCCTAAATGGAGTCCTAAAGAGTCAGATATAACTGAAACTATTCAATGACAACAAAGCACTGTCTTTTGTCCCATCACCTGAGAGCTACTCTAATCTCCTAATGGTGCTATAATGGGGAGGAGCTGAGATGACATTTATCGCACCTCCCTATATGTAAATTGTCCTACTACTGTCTATAGAATCAGGCTGGAACTTGCATTTGGCCCTCATTGAGGGCAGGGACTACCTTTTTATTAAGTATCCCCCTAGTGCCCAGCTTTAAAGGGGCTTAATACATTTGGATTGGATTGGATTGGATTGGAAGAATGGAAGAGACTAGAGAGCCCAAAGAGACTAATGAAATCTTTTCTCTGTCCTGACTCAGCCAACTATTGGTGGTTGGTGGTGATGCAGTTTGGGATGCTGGGAACCTCGATGATGTGGTCTCGGGTTGCTGGGAGCCCTGAAATGTCAGGGTATAAGGGAGGTCTTCCTGGAAATAATTCACACACTCAAACCTTCTTCCAGTCAAAATGGCAAGGTTTATTATAATGCCAATAGGATGGGGATGGATTCCCAGTGAATCTGAGGCTTGATGGGGATGAGATTGATACTTGTATGTGGCCCAGGTGTGACAATGAAAGGAGTTAAGTGGTCTGGGGTGGGTCAAGGGGACAGTGAAAGGACTGTCAAGTAAGGTAATTAAGTGATCCAGGTGGGCTGAGGTGGGCCTGGGTGGGCCAGATGCCTTGGGCTGAGATGGCAGTGATCTGGGTCCCTGAAATGCATGGGAAAATTCGGGGACTGGGTAGCTTTCAAAGATGTGGTCTTTTACTTTTAGGGATCCAGGTCCCATTACCCCTCAGTGGTGTTCCACCACCTCTCACATAGGTAACGCTTTGACTCCACCAGGGAGGAGAATTCTACCAATGGGCTTTGGGCCTCCGGCTGCATAAAATCAAAAGGCATCAATAAAGCTTATTCAAAAAAAAAAAGCCCAGAAGCTCATGCTTTCTCTCTCTCTCTCTCTCTCTCTTCTCTCTCTCTCTCTCTCTCTCTCTCTCTCTCACACACACACACACACACCACACACACACACACACACAAAACAGGCATTCTGTACACTATATTTATGTACCACAATGAAACACAATTAGTAATAAATGATGGTGCAATAAAGAAAAAGTATAGGAATTCATAGAAACAAAAAAAAAGGAATACTAAACGAAGACTTGGTAAATAATGAGATAAAAGAGAAACACTCTCATAGCTAATATGTGTGGAAAGCTATGGTCATATCTTGGTCCATCTACTTCTAAATCCTTCTCCAGTCTTCTTTGATTGCTTTGTTTGATTCTGTTTATTCTGATTGGTAAAGTGTAAGGATTTGTGGGTAAACCTTTGGTTCTCTTTGTGTATTCTCACCTCTCTGTTTTTGTTGATTTTTATTATGTTTATAAGAACTTTTAAAGGTGTGAAAATGAATGGCACATGTGGTCATATTGTATATGTATGATGGTGTGTTTTCATGAAGCTGTGTATATTTTGTTTTTAGTGCTCTGAAGTCTGGAAATCAATTTAATTTTTCCTAGGAATGAAACACAATGTGAGAGATGAAAGGCTGGAGATGATTTAGTCCAAATTGAAGCCCAGATGGTAAAATAACTTGTTTGCAAGTAAGTGGCAGAGCCAGAACCTAACCTTAGCTATTTTGACTCCAAGTCCAGTGCTTTACTGGTTAAAATAAACTAACCATAGAATTTATGAGTTTGACTATTATTTTATGGAAATAAAAAAAATCACTAGTGCTCTCAGAAAAGTGTAGAAGGAAAAGCAATTAGCTTCTCCACAGAGCTCGAATCAGGTTTTAGTTTCAGTCACTTAAGACATGTGTGACTTTGGGCAATTCACTTCAATCTTTCAGTGCCTGTCTTCTCATCTGTAAAACGAAGGTGTTCATTTGGATGAGCTTTGACAGCCTTTCTAACTCTAACACATTGTGATTTGTAGGAAACCATATTGACAAAGTTCTGAACTGTATGTGGAAATGAGATCTAAGGTTCATTTCTGCTTTAAATAACTAGTATCTGTGCAATCATGGACATGCCATTTAATCTCTCAGTCTATTTCCTCATGTGTCAAATGTGTATGAAACTATCTGACCTTCCTATTTTACAGATTTCTTATGGAAAGAACAACAACCGCGTCAAAAAGCTACAGAAAAAGAAGGTACTATAAATCACTTTGTAACTGTCAGTCATTATTGCTGCTGAATAGGTTTAATACACTTGACTTGCAGCTTAAACCTTATGTTTTGTCCCCCCAATTAGGACAGAGGGGTGGGGGTCCTGGAGGAGGGGGACCGTCTTGCTTTGCTTTTTCTATCTCTAGTACTCAGCAGATAGTCAGTGATGCTGTGCGGCCAGGGCATAAGAACACTGTTCTTGGTGTTAATAAGACTTAAATTCGAATTGTGCCTCAGAAACTTACTGGCTGCGTGATGCTAAGCCAGTCTTTAGCCTCTGGCAGCCTCAGTTTGCTCATTTGTACCCTTGGTCCCTCCAAGAAGCCAGACTCCAAGACGCTGTGTTTTGAGTACAGAGGTGCTGAATGGGTAGAAAGACAAGACGGGGCAACTGATTGGATATGCGGGGTTAGAGCCCGCCCCCTCCTACCCCTCCAACCAGTGACCAGCCTCTTTAAAGGACTGTGGTCAAGGCCTGCTTCTGGTCTCCTCCCCTTCATGGCGTGATGTTGTCCACTTGTGGGCGGGGGAGGGGGAGGCTAAAATTTCTCCTGCCCTGGAACAGCTTCCGGCAGGAGCGGGAAGCCCCGTTTCTGGACAGAGTCAGGGAGTAGGGACTGCTGGCCACCCAGGAGGAGGAGGTGAGAGTGAGGCTTCTCTGCGTCCATCCTGGTCGGCGCCTTGCGGCGGGGCCGGTCGGCACGAACGCGAGCAGCGCAGCACCGGGTCTGTGAGGGGAAAGTGGGAGGGGAGAGGGAAGTTGCCTCAGGAGCCTCCTTTCCTGGGAGTCAGCCCTGCCCTCCTCACAGTTAAAAGAGTAAACACCTTGCCTTTGATCATACCACCTTGGAAGGACTGAAAATGTACAGGTCCCTACAAGTATCTCTGAAAACAGCTGCACAAAACTCCGGAAGCTTGGGACAGTTCACCCTCCACACTGGAAGCAGAGTCTTACCTTAACAAAGATTTTAAAACTCAAGTAATTGGCCAGGATCATGAGCAAACCTCAAAAAAAAGAGTCAGACTATATTATCTTACTTTGGTGACAAAGAAGATTAAAACATACAACCAGAAGAAGACAACATAGTCAAAGCTCCCACATCCAAAGCCTCCAAGAAAAATATGATCAAGGGGCACCTAGGTGGCCAAGTGGGTAGAGCACTGGCCCTGAAGTCAGGAGTACCTGAGTTCAAATCCGGCCTCAGACCGAACACTTGACACACATACTAGCTGTGTGACCCTGGGCAAGTCACTTAACACCAATTCTCTAAAAAAAAAAAAAAAAAAAAAAAAAATATGATCAGTCCCAGGCTTTGGAAGAGCTCAGAAGGGATTTTGAGAGCAAGTAGGAGAAGTAGAGGAAAACCTGAGAATGATGAAAGAAAATCATGAAAAACAAGTCAACAACTTGGTAAAGGAGACCCAAAAAAATAGTAAAGAAAATAACACCTTAAAAAACAGCCTAACCCAAATGGCAAAAGAGGTCCAAAAAGCCAACGAGGAGAAGAATGCCCTAAAAAGCAAAATTGGCCAAATGGAAAAGGAAGTCCAAAAGCTTACTGAAGAAAATATTTCCTTAAAAATTAGAATACAGCAATTGTAAGCTAGTGACTTTATGAGAAAGCAAGACACAGTAGAACAAATCCAAACGAATGAAAAATTAGAAAACAATGTGAAATATCTCATTGGAAAAACAACTCACCTGGAAAATAGATGCAGGAGAGAGAATTTTAAAATTATTGCAGTATCTGAAAGCCAGGATCAAAAAAACAGCCTAGACATCATCTTTCAAGAAATTATCAAGTAAAACTGCCTGATATTTTAGAACCAGAGGGCAAAATAGAAATTCAAAGAATCCACCCATCTCCTCCTGAAAGAGATCCCCAAAGGAAAGCTGCTAGGAATATTGCAGCCAAATTCCAGAGTTCCAGGTCAAGGAGAAAATACTGCAAGCAGCCAGAAAGAAACAAGTCAAGTATGGTGGAAACACAATCAGGATAACACAAGATTTAACGGATTCTTCATTAAGGGACCGGAATGGAATATAATATTCTGGAGGGCAAAGGAGATAGGATTACAACCAAGAATCACCTACCTAGCCAAACTGAATCTAATCCTTCAGGGGAAAGCATGGTCATTGAGTGAAATAGAGGACTTTTAAGCATTCTTGAGGAGAGGACCAGAGTTGAATAGAAAATTTGACTTTCAAATCAAGACTCAAGTGGAACATGAAGAGGTAAACAGGAAAGAGAAATCAGAAGAGCTTATTAAGGCTGAACTGTTTACATTCCTGCATGGAAAGATGATATTTATAACTCATGACATCTTTGTCATTACTAGGGTAGTGTGAGGGGAAAAAATTATATGTATGTATGTATAGATAGATAGACAGACAGACAAAGACATAGATAGAGGGCACAGGGTGAGTTAAAGATGAAGGGGTGATATCTGGAGAATAAAATTATGGGACGAGAGAGGATTATGGTAGAAGAAGGAGAAAGGGAGAGGTAGGATGGGGTACATTATCTCACACAGAACACACAAGAAAAGATTCTTACAGTGGAGGGAAATCTGTAAAGCTTGGAACACTACATCCCCCATACTAAAAGCAGAGCCCTACCTTTTTTGGGTGGGGGGAGGCAATTGGGGTTCAGTGACTTGCCAGAGTCACACAGCTAGGGAATGTTATGTGTCTGAGTCCCGGATTTGAACTCAGGTCCTCCTCCCTCCAAGGCCAGTGCTCTATCCACATGAAGAGCCCTACCTTAAGAAACAGTTAAAATGTAAAATAATTTGTTGGGGAAATGACCAAACAGCAGAAAAAACTCAGACTCTAGAAAGTTACTTTGGTAACAAGGAAGGTCAAAACATACACTGAGAAGAAGACGACATAGTCAAAGCTCCTATATCCAGAGCCTCCAAGAAAAATATGAATTGATCTCAGGTCATGGAAGAGCTGAACAAGGATTACGAAATCAAGCAAGAGAAGGAAAGGAAAAATTAGGAAGAGAAATGAGAGTGATTCAAAACAATTGGGAAAAACAGCTTACTAAAGAAGACCTAAAAAAATACTGAAGAAAACAACACCTTAAAAAATAGACTAGGCCAAATGGCAAAGGAGGTCCAAAAGCTTACTGAAGAAAATAATTCCTTAAAAATTAGAATGGAGCAAATGGAAGCTAATGACTCTATGAGAAAGCAAGAAATCATAAAACAAAACCAAAAGAATGAAAAAATACAAGACAACATAAAATATCTTCTTTGAAAAACAATTGACCTGGAAAATAGATGTAGGAGAGCTAATTTAAAAATTATTGGACTACCTGAAAACCATGATCAAAAAAAGAGCCTAGATATCATTTTTCAAGAAATTATCAGGGCAGAGCAGTGGCACAGTAGATAGAGCACTGGCCCTGAAGTCAGGAGGACCTGAGTTCAAATCCTACCTCAGACCAAACACTTGACACTTACTAGCTGTGTAACCCCGGGCAAGTCATTTAACCCCAATTGTGAAAGAAGAAAAGAAAGAAAAGAAAAGAAAAGAAAAGAAAAGAAAAGAAAAGAAAAGAAAAGAAAAGAAAAGAAAAGAAAAGAAAAGAAAAGAAAAGAAAGAGAGAAGGATCATAAAGGAAAACTGCCCTGATATTCTAGAACCAGAGGTTAAAATAGAAACTGAAAGAATCCACTAATCACCTCCTGAAAGAGATCCCAAAAGGAAAACGAGAAGGGACATTAGCAAGACTCAAATCTTCGCCCCTCCATTTCATAGATAAGGAAACTAAAGTCTAGAGAGCTTATGTAACTTAAACAGTATCACACAGGTAGCAAGTGGCAGAACTGGGATTCAAATTCAGATCCTCTGTCTCTAAATCCAGGGCTCCCTCCACTGTATTAGATTCTTTCTCTTAAAGGGAAGAATTCAAACAAGTAGTACTGGTTTGAAAATACATGCATTCTGTTGCTACATTTAAGGTTTTATCTTTTATAAACAACTATACCCAAACCATCTGGTTAAAAGATGGCTAAGATGAAAATCAGAATCCTTTTTTCCTCAAAGAAACTGGTCCCTAAGCAATAATAATCTGTGCTTGATTGTAACTCTTAACTTGGGAAGTCAATTCATCTTGTGATGTTTCTTTAGCAGTCAAATCTAAGAATGAACTTGGGGGGAAGATACCAAGTATAAATGAAAATCACACATGATTCCCAAACCTTTAGGTTTATGGTTTCAAATCTCCCATCTCTTCAAGTGCTTGAACTAAAGCTGCTAAGTGAATAGTAAGTTTCAATCATAAAGTTGGTCACCAGGTGACAAATCGTTTTGGCCACAGCAACCATCTCCTAAAGTATGGAGGGATTTTGATATCTATTGGTAGAGCAAGTGCCCAATCATGTTGAAATCACAGCTCCTTTAAAGTATTGTTTTAGTAACTTATTTCTCCTGCCTGTAGCCTTTGAATGAGCAGGGCTCCAAGGCAGGAAAAAAGAAGCAATTAGATCTGGATAACATATTCAGTCAATAAAATCTACCTCTGGTTTTGGAGTGTAGCTATATCCCATTTAACCTCTTACAGTATTACACGGGTTCTAGTCCCCTTACCATCCTGGTTACCCTACTCTCTAGAAAGATTTCAGCTTCTCAAAGTCATTCGTAAAATATGATAGATAAAATTACACATCTTACTCTGGTTGTGGCTTATCCAGGGCAAAGTACTGTACAATGGAAACATTACCTCTCATATGCTTCTTTTAATGAGCCATCAGATCAAATTAGTTTTGGGGGAGTTATCTCCTTGCTGACCTATATTTTCCTTGAAGAATACTAGAATCCTTAGTTATTGTTCAGTTTGTTTTTCACGAAAACTCTCAAGCTTGCCTATTCCATTGGCTATTTATTTTTCAAATTCATCTGGGTAGCACTTGAAACATCTCTTCACAAGGAGTCCCTGAATGCTACCTCAGGCTGGAGGCATTGCTGTGGGTATGTTCAACATTCATTCAAACCCATAGTTCATGAGCCTTCATCAATGTATTTGTCACCTGGAGGATATATTAGTTCAAAGTAGAACATGTTGATTAAACAGTATATACTAAAATATGTGATAAGCAAAATTTCTACAGACCCACAAAGATGCAGTCTTCCGCAGGGGAGAGGGGACTTTCACAGAAAACAGATCTGACCAGGAACACAGACAGTGGGATGGCATCCACATGTAGCCAGGACAAATCCATACTTCCACTGCTCTCTGGTTACGTCATTAGGTAAGCTGCTTTTTACATTGTACATGGGGCATTTGCTTCTCTGTTATCTCTGCTGTAAGTCTCTGTTCTGGCCATGTCCACCGCAGAATGCTTTTGTTATTGGACTCCTCCCCTACTGGATGCATCATCTGCTGGTGCTGGGCGTCTCTAGTAAGATTCTGCTGGTCTTCAGCTTTGCAGCCTCACTGGATTTCCTGCTGTTCTTTGCTGCCTTCGCTGGAGTGTGACTAATAAGTAGCCTTTCCTTAAAGCAAAGGGCTAAATTCTTTCAGTCAGAAGCCAGTCTTTGTAGACCAGTCAACTGGCAAGCAAAAGTCAGCAGATGCTGTAAAGCTAAAATTAAGTCTTTGCTTTTAATTGCTTTTCCTCTTGCTAGGCTCAGGTTCCCTGATCCCAGTGTCCTATCTGCCTTGGAGTTAGAAAATACCTTCTAATTCTTGTTATGCCCCTACTTGTTAGTCTGGCTGTGTCCCTTAAAATCATCCCAGGGATTCTGTTTTGTGAAACTCCAAAGGAATATGAGGAGCTGGGAGGAAGAGACTGCTTCAAACTCAGCATCCACTCAAAACATAGTTCATGAGCCTCCATCAAGGTGTTTCTTTTGTCAGTCAATCAGAGGACATACCAGTGCAAAGCAAAAGTCATTAATTAAACAGCATAGCAATATAATGTGATAACAAAAGTTTTTCCATACACACAAGGATACAATCTCCCATGGGTTAACATAAAACCAGTGGTAGAAGGGACCACACAAGGAACAATTATGGCAAGGAACAGATATGACTGGGAATTCTCCGAGTTACCAGGAAAATCAACTTGTGGCAAAGCAGAAAGGTCCATGTGCAGTCCTGGTAGCTGGTGGGTACCCTAATTATTTGGTTATAAATTCTGCCTTTGTTATATATTCCTGCAAGAAAATCATTGGTTTCTTTATGTTCCTGTTACTCAAATACTTGAAGACGGTGGAACCACCATACTTGAACTCTGATATCAGAGTCCCAGATGTTCAAATAAGGGAGGTAGAAATGTCACTAAAGGGGCAGCTAGGTGGCGCAGTGGATAGAGCTTCGCCCATGGGGTCAGGAGGACCTGAGTTCAAATCCAGCCTCAGACACATAACACTTCCTAGCTGTGTGACTCTCGGCAAGTCACTTAACCCCGATTGTCTCACCAAAAAAAAGAAAAGCCACTAAAGAGAGCAAAGACAAGAAAAGCAGATTAAATCAAGTATATACAGTGGAGGTCTGTGCTGGAGACAACCCAGTTGTGTCCATGCCAGACGACCCCATCCTGTACTCTGGTCTTTGAGGGATCTCAACCTCTCAGACCCAACACCACCAAGTGGCAAGACACCAAAACTATTATCCTGGCCACCCAATGATTAACATCTTACAAGGACTTGGTGTATGCATCCTTGGATTTTTAGCGCCCACCTTCTCCATTTTCAATCCCACACAGCCTAAGATCTCTAACTTGAAAAGGGCAAAACCCAGATTCTGGGGAAATGTCCTCTGGTTCCTTAACAATGTAGCAGAGTATCTCATGCCCTGATATGGTCACCTACAACATGAACTCATTCTCTCTAACCTTACAGAGACCATTCACCAGCTGGCAAAAAAGAAAGCTTATAGTAATGTGGATACTAATGGTGCGCTAAGGATTAAAAAGAATATTAAGTGTTTCTTTTCCATGACTTTGTGAAGCCCCTCCTGAGTGACTTGGGTTCCTGTCCTAAACTTTTCCCCCTTATCTTGAAATACCATAAAAGTCCTCCTTATCTTGTAAGCAACAAGCTCCCTCATCCTCTATCAAAGTTCTTTTGGTTTTACAAGACCTTATTAAGGCCTAGGATATCCCCTTCCAGGTCCTTATCTGTTATCTCCCAGTCAGTTCCTCCAGCCTACTGGCACTTCCATCCCCATTATAAAAAGGATTAGTCCAGTCCACTAAAGGGTGGATTCTTAAAATCTCCCGCACCTAGTCGGTTCTAATAAACCTTGCTTTTGGCTGAAAGAAGGATTGGATCAAATTCGAGGCAGGGCCGGCATTGGTTTCCCTTGAATTTCGGGTCCCAGCACCCCTGGACCTCAACACTATTACTCTCCTATTTCACAGGTAAGACACTCAGGGTACAGAGAGATCGAGACGCGATCTGAGTCACCCAGTTAATAATAAGCTTTAAATGTCATATTTCAATCCCGATCTTCCTGACTGCAGGTCCAGGGCTCTTTTGCAGGGGCCCTTCGAAATTTAAGAGTTTAAAGTTTGGCTACTAGGGCGGCTTGGCTACTAGGGCGGCTTCCTGTAGGATAGGACTGGCCCTGTTCCAACTAGGAAAAACATACTCCCGTACTTTGGACCGGATCTGGAGAGGAGAGGGAGGAGCCATGCGCATGCGCAGGGCAGGCAGTTCCAGAATCTGCTGAAGACCTCGGAGGGTCCTGCCCCTAAAGCACCTGTGTCCTCCCGGGAAGCCCTTCCTCCAGGTGAGTGCCCGCCTCGGGTTCTGACTAAAGGTGGCTCAGACCCTGGCGGTAAATTGGGGGAGCGAGGAAACTGAATACCTGTATTTGCACACCCGGAAAATGATGTGGGGAGGCGGTGGGGCTCGAATACTGCTTCCGCCCGCCCTTCCCCCCCCCCCACCCCGCACCTCTGCCTGCCCGTCCTCTGCCACCTAATGTCTGCCCCAGCTCCCTGATCCGCTCTGTTCTCAGGGCACTTGTTTGCCTTCAGGGGTCTGTATGTGGTGGGACACTTCTAGGAACTGACTGGAACCAGAGCTAGAAGCGACCTTTTAGAGATGGCTGTGGAATCTAACCCTTGCCCTCATTATACCAAGAAGGAAACTGGGGCTCAGAGGTTACATAACTTGCCTGCGTCAGAGAGGTGAAATGATTTGTCCAAGACCCCACTGAGATTTGAATTCGGGCCCTAGGAACCCTAAATTCTTCTTTCTTTGCCCTGCACCAGATCAAGTCAACAAACATTTATTAAGGGCTTACATGTGCCAGGTAACAGTGTTAAGTGCTGGGGATGTGTCCTTGCTCTTAATTAGCTCCCAGTCTTGTCTAGTGAGAGACAGCATGCAGAACAAGTAACAGGTTACATACAGGATAATTTGGGGGTAGTTGCAGAGGCAAGGCCATCGTATTTAGGAGGTCTTGCTGAAGTTGGCCCTTTAGCTGAGACTCGAAGGAAGCCAGGGAAGCCAGGAGGCAGAGATGAAGTCTGAGATGTGCCAGGCTTGGGGGAACAGCCCCAGAAATGCGGTGGGGAGATCAGAGTGTCCTATCCGAGGAACTGCAAGGAGGCTGCAGTCACTGGAGTAGGAAAGGGAGTAGAGTGTAAGAAGACTGGAAAGACAGTGATGGGGAATTTCTCAATCCAGAGCTCCTGAAATCCTCCCAGGGTGTAATTCTGCCTACCTTGAGCCCTTTGATTGGTGGTCCAAACAGGAGGCCAGGCTAGAAGATAAAGTTTAATTAGCATCAACTGATCATTGGCCAGAAGCCCAACAAAGAGATATACATGTAGGGTTTTATACAGCTTTTTGTGTTTCAGTCGTGTCTGACAATCTGTGACCCCATTTAGGGTTTTCTTAGCAAAACTACTGGAGTGTTTTGCCATTTCCGTTTCCAGCTCATTTTGCAGATGAGGAAACTGAGGCAAACAGGGTGAAGTGACATGGCTAGGGTCACACAGCTTGGAGAAAAACAATATCATCAATCAGGAATCAACAGTTATGGAACTTGATAATGTCAGGATATTTCATTGTCAGGCAGGAGATTATTTCATGCCAGCCAAGAAACAGGCTTTCTCTTTCAAGTATATATGATGGCCATCTTCAGTCTCCACTTCCCCTCCCCACAAGACTGGCATGCTGGACATGGGTGGATCAGAATCTAGTTGTTTATGAAGCAACAAAAAGTGATTGATTTGTACTTTTCCTTTAAAACTGTTATCTCCTGTGTCAAGTGGACTGGAAGTGAAAGCAGGCTAGAGACAAGAGAGTCAGGAATCAAACAGAAGTTTAATTTGAAAGTGAGGAAAAGGGCTTCCAAACAAGGATGTATTATTGCCAGAGGCTGGCCCTAGTGGAGTGGACCTGAGGCAGTGTGAGGAGATTTTAATACTTTTACCTGTGGCTACTCAGTGAGCTGTAGCCCTGACAGTGAGGGATAACAGCAACAGTGTGACAAGTTTGATTCATAGCAGGGCTTCATTCATGACCAGAAACAATTCTGAGATCGTCCAGAGGGTGAGCACAAAGGATTGTTGTTATGCCAAGCTCAGCACATAGCTTGCTTGCTGGACCTTAGCTGTGGAAAACAAGGTGTCTCCTAATATCGTGACACCTGTGTTATATACACATTATTTTATTCCTCTGCCAGTGTGTGATTTTATTCAAATGGCAGAGAGGGAATAGAATGGTATAAACATCTATTAAGTGTGTACCATATGCCAGGCAATATGCTAAAGGCTTTACAAATATTGTCTCATTTGATCCTCATAACAATGCTATTATTATCTTCATTTTACAGTTGAGGAAACTGAGGTAGACAGGTTAAGTGATTTGTCAAGGGTCACGTAGCTACTGTTTGAGACTACAATTGAACTCAGGTCTTCCTACTCAAGGCCCAATCTTGAACCCACTGTGCCGTTCTATCTATAACAGGGATCTTTTAGTACCAAATATCCACAATACCTGATGTAAGGAATAAAAACACTTCCCGTATACATGTACTGGAAGTATACCAGGTGTTCCTGCATGTATTTTTTTAATGAAACAGTTAATATTACAAAAATATTAAGTATTGTGTTTTCTTGTAGAGACAGTTAACATGGTGTTTGTAGGAACATCGAAGAGAAACGAGTGCAGAAAGTGCAGAAAGAATTTGAACTTTCATGTGGAAGGGATGATATGGTTGTATTCTTGTCGATGCTACTGTTGCCCTTCTAAGATTCAGATACTCTTGGTGTTCAAAGATAACTTTTAAATCTTGATATTTGCATTATGGTTTTTTTAAGCCTACATTAGCCCCTTTTGGTAGCAACTAGGTGGCACAGTGGATTGAGTGCAAGGCTTGGAGTCAGGAAGACTTATCTAACTGTGTGACCCAGGGCCAGTCAGTTGACACTGTGTGCCTTAATTTCCTCACCTGTAAAATGAGCTGGAGACACAAATGGAAAACTACTCCAGTATCTGTGTGAAGAAAACCCCCAATGGAGTCCCCTCTGAAAGGACTGAATAACAATGAGCCCTGTTGGGTAGGTGCTGTAGCTCATTTACCACTGTTAAAAATTAACCAATAAGTCACTCAGAAAAATACATGATTTCACTCAGGATTAAAGAGATGCCAATGAAATCCACCTTAAGGTATTATTATCTACCTATTAAATCATCAAAAGTAATTTTAAAATCCTCCCAATGTTAGTGAGAATATGGTTGAGTTAAGAATGCAATCTGGCAGTATGTAACAAAAGCTGTGAAACTTTTTCCTACAGTTTCACCCAATAATTTTACTTTAGGAACACATCTCAAGAAAATAACCAGAAAGAAAGAAAAGGAATTAGTACAAAAATGTTCAGAATAGTGGTATTTGTAATAATAGTAGTTGATGTCATAGAGGAGAAGGAGTAGATAAAAGAGGTACTGAAATATCTTGCTAACAGCACTCAGTATTCCCTTTACAAAATGTGAACACCTTTCTCTGAGTGAATCTGAAAGGGAATGTGATTGGCTGGGCTGAAAATGGGTCATGTCTCTGAGGGGCTTTAAATAGAGTTTGCCATTTCTAGAGTTCCAGTCTAAAACTGCCTCTGGAGAAAACATTAAGGGAGTTTGGGGGTGGGCATGATCACTGTCCACGTATGCATTATATAGCTTTGTGGGAAGTCTACAAAGACAGAGGGTCTCAGGGACCTGTAATAGTCCTGCAGTTGTGAGTTAGTTGACTTAACCACATGTATTTCCTACATGTGTGCCTCATTACATTGTACTCAGAATTTTGTGCCCACACTTTCTATTGACAATATACATATTACTAGGAGAGTTTTAATTTACCTATTCAGTAAATGCCTTTCTTAAGAGCTAATTATGTCTGTTGGCTCACTGGTGGGAACATTAGTTGGGGTTCATGAACTATAGTGTCTAGGTACCCTAGAACCTATGGGGATAACAGCTGTCTTCTGGGGGCTCCAACCCACAAGTAACATGTTTGGGAAGTAGCCCAGACAGGATGCAGCAGTAAAAGATTGGAAACAATCCAGATGTCCACAATTATGGTTTACTAGGTTATATTTTCTATCAACATTTTACATACATTCTCTCACTTAATCTTTAAAATAGCCCCATGTAGTAAATAGTATTAAGTCCATTTTATAATTTAGAAAAGAGGCCCCCAGGGATTGAATAACTTGTTCAGAACGAAGAAATCCTGATTTTCTAATTAGACCTTGTCAGGTGTTCGACTATCAAAATGTCTCATCATACTGGGTATCATACAGTTGAATCCTAGGATGAGTAGTGTAAGATGTGAGTTGTCTTGGACCTAAGTGTGCTTCTCTACTAGTTTACCAGGTTTGTTGGGGGAATGTTTTGTAGGTACTGTTTTTACTATGCCAAACAGTGAATGCCTTCGACCTAATTATGATAATGAATTGTTGAATGCATTTAGCTCAGAAGCTGTCATTTTAGAAATGTCTACCTGCATGGTGTCTTACACCAGGGTAATTGTGCCCTGGTGTTGAAGGCCAGAGTTTATCAGACTGCTCTTGTACGTCATGTTTGATGCTGGAAAACTGAAACACTCATGGATAATCTAACAGTTAACAAAAGGAGATTTACTCAGTCGTAGCACGGGGAGGATATTTTGAAGGACACTGTGTTGATTTAACTAAGGATATCTATGTTGTGCACGGTGGTCCCCCAGTCAGGCATCAGAGCGCAGGGAGAAATTTGTACTGGGGACACCAGGGAACCACATCAATGGCCTGAGCCAATTAAATGTTGAGATCAGTTACAATACCTTAAAAAAAACCCAATTAACCTTACCTACATGGAGTGGGGCCTTAGGATATTGTCATTATCACACCTGGGAAGAAAACCTGTAAGTATAAACCAGAGGCAAGGAGTAGCCCCAGAGGTACGACCTATATTTAGAAACTTTCCTGTGGAACTGAAAATTTGTATATATGTGGGGGGTGTGTGTAAAATAAACAGTATTCTTTTTGCTTTAGTTTTTCAGCCACAGACAAGGGTTATTAGAATATCCATCATATTGGGCAGACTTTTAAGGAGTCTGAACATGAGTAAACAGTGGCTAGATTATAAGAATCTAAGCATCTCAATGGAGACAAGATGGACCTTATATTCAGAAAGACTGTAGGAGGGATCTAGGAATGGATCTGAATGGGAGTGGCCCAGTAAACTGGGCTGAACAGGACTCCTGGGACCTGGACAATGGAGCCTAGCTAGGATTAAGTGTGCAAAATGGCCATTAGGAGGGGTAGGATAGGTTAAGGGTAACAGAATTGGGAGATTGAGTGTAGCCGCAAAGAAAGGCCAGTTGATGAGGTTATAGCCTCAGGCCAATGCCAGAGATTTGGCATTTTTTTTTCCTTTTTGGGGTCTAAATCCCAACCCCATCATTCTCCCCTGAAACAACTGGGACCCAAATTCTTTTGGAGTAAGGGGTGAAGGTCTTGGCTTCTGAAACTGCTTCCTGCTGGAAGGGGTATAGAGCTGTCCCTGCCTCAAAGGAGTCCCAAAGAGGAGTTTGACTGGAACCAAGCACAGGGTGCATCCAGGGAACGATGGGGGGGACATTGGCTGGTACTTGCTGTTACCAACTGTAGGTGAATGGCCCATGGTCTGGAAGACACAAATCTGCCAGAAAAAAATTACATGGCCCAGATATAAAGCAGGGACTAGATTTAGGTCCAAACTTTGAGAGGATAAAACATCCTTAGCTCTGTTTGGATTCAAATAATTTAGTTTTCCAATCATGCAGTATCAAATCCACCTCATAGCCAGACTCAGGAATAGCCAAGTGGGTAACATTCCCTTTGAAAGCATATAATGGAGAAAGTGAGCCAGGAGGGTCCCATCTTAGGCTGAAGCTCAAATTGTCCTCTTAGCTCTTCCTAATGCTGACTTCCCACCAGTATCACCTTCTCTGAGTAGATGGCGGATTATTGATTATCAATGGATTATGATCCATCAGACAACTCAAATACAATCCTATGAGCTCAAACAGTGTGTTTTAGCTTTACAGTTTATACACATTCATTCTCACATGCTAGTCTGTAATAAAGGAAGCTAACTCTATGTAAATATATGATATCTATATCATAACATATGTAAATATGTATACTCCAACAAGTTAGCTGACGCTGACTTTACACAGGTGGCTAATTCAGTTATGAATCCAGGAAGCTTCATTTTTGTGATGTCCTGGTGCCTGCTGACTTCCTACCCAAAGAAAGTATTAATAATCCATGGGCATGATTTTTATAGGTATTACTGGTATAATTGGATAGAATGACCATATTTGGAAGGAAATGTCATTTGGGGTTTTTCAGTTGAGGAGGCTTTGAGAAGACCAAAGCCTGCATTTCCTGTTTGAACAAATAATACACATGCTCCCTTATTTCAGTTGGTAACCTAAACATGATACAAGGCATTTCTTTTACTGTTGGGGCTCTGTAAGGAGGTAGAGGGCCACAGGCTGTTCATGAGGTCTCACTGATGGGAGGAGGCCCCTCTCAGGTGCTTGATCTGTGAGCAAAGGTGGCCTGGTTAGGTGCTCCATTCTATGCATCTCTAACTTCCCTAGTTACTCATTAGTCATTAACAGTGTATTTGTGATTACTAGTAGATAAGTGCATGGACTGTGCATGCACTGTCCTTGAGCACAGCATGGGTTATACGTCATTGTAACTTGAGAAAGAGTTCCTGTTATTTTACTATATAAGTAAGTGCTTTGCTAAAATTAAACGGAGTTGCTGCCATCTTTTCTCCTGCCTCATCAGTGCGTGCTCAGAGTGAAAGATCAAGCTGGTCTTGATTCTTCAGGTGATTGGGAAATCCTAGGTCCTAGGTAGGCTCTGTAGCCGAGTGAACTAGTTGTGCACAACATTTTACTCCTTTAATTGTTCAGTTTTTTGAAACTCTTCTTTGGTTTTGAATTTTTAGGGAGCTCTGAAGATAGATCTTTGTAGGTCTACTGCCTGACCATAGTGATGCGTGTCCAAAGAGTTGTACTGAATTCCCGACCTGGTATGTATTTGCTTATGATTAACGTACTTGTTACTTCTTAAAGAGACAGAAGTAATAATAACAGTTGTTGACCTGAAATGCAAAAACAAAGGTGATAGAAAATAATGTTATGTTAGAAAAATGTCCACAGTGGTACAGAGACCAAAGTATGTGAGCAAACATCTGTAATACTCTTCTTTATATTCCTTGACCTTGAATCCTTTGCAATAATTAAAATAATACTAAGTAGAATAGATTCTTCTTACTTGTTCTTTTTCAAATTTATTAGGATATTTTAAATGTATTTTCCTACTTCTTTTACAAAGCATTGATCTACTTCTATACCATTTGTTTAATCGTAGAAGCTTAGAACTAAGAGAGGTTCCAGAGGTTGTCTGCTTCATCCCATGATAGGCTTTATGTATTCTACAGGTTGTCTATCAACTCATACTCTTAAAGACCTTCCCATAAGGTAAAGTCTCTTGATGGATCTATTTTTCCTATTCTACCCTGAGTGACTATAGAATAGATTTGCAATTAGAGACCTGGTTCAAATCCTGGCACTACCACTTATAACTCAGGTAAATCACTCACCTCTTGGGAACTCAGTTTCCTTGTTTATAAAATTAAGAGATTGGACTAGAATGCCTCGAAGTCCTCCAAGTATGGCTGGGGGCCCCTGAAGGTCTCCAAGTCAAAACAGTATTCATAATAGTACTGAGATATTTTAATTTCTAATATGGTAAAAGCTCATAAATATAACCCATACAAACAAAAGATCTGTCCAATTTCAAATTGTATGTGTCAGTCAGTCACTAAACATTTCTTTATTAAGTGCTTACTATTTGCTAGGTGATATGCTAAGCGCTGGAATATGAAAGTGTGAATCTCCATTTAATACCACTTTCTTTAAAAAAAAAAAGCACGTAAATAATTCTGTATACTAACTTTCAAAACTGTCCTGCTTATATATGCTTCCTTCTGAATTTCCTTCTGTTCTTCTTCTTATGCTTGTAAAAAAAAATGCTTCAGTGGCCCTTCTTTTTGTGGGGGGGAATGATTATTGCTAACCACCCATAGCCCTACTCTCTTTCAACTCTCCTCTTTCCCTCAATTTAAAATGAAGAGAAAGTGTAGTGGAGAAAAAAATGGATTAGTCAAGAGACCTGGGTTTGAATCCTATTTCTATGTTAGTCATTTTTCTGGATTTCTGTTTTCTCATCTGGAAACTTAGGACAATAATTTCATTACCTACCTCACAAACTTACTATGAGTTATTATTTTTTTACTGTGTATGTCATCAACAAATGAACAGAGGTTAATCCAATTTACCTATGTACATGTCACACCAAGCTTTGTATAAATTCATTTTTTCCTCAGTTGCTTTTTGCTGTTACACAAATTCTTCTGACATCTTCCTATAGGGTTTTGCCAGTGAGCTGCCCTGTCTCTCTGCTTGACAAGGAGATTAAGTGTTTGCTAACCAGTGTCATTTCTCGGCTTTTGCAGCCTCTGTGTTATGGTGACTATTTTACATCTGTTAAATTTCTCAAGAAAACAGCAGTCATTGTAGACAGTTTTATTTTGGAGTTGACAACTTGTTTAAACTCATGGTTTATAGTTGCAGCAGTCATAGTAGTGACTGGCCTTTCACTTCTGGCCTTTCTTCTAATTTAGTACTTTGTTGTTTTTTATTTTTATTTTTAGTTCCAAATTCTCTCCCTCTCCCACCTATTGAGAAAGTGAGAAATAAGGTACCCATTACACATATGAAGTCTTGCAAAACATTTCCACAATAGCCCGCATTATGGTGGAAAAAGGCAAGACAAATGAAACAAAGTTTGAATTCGTACTCGGGTCATCAGCTCTCTCTCTCTGGAGGCAGACAGCCTTTTTCATCATGAGTCCTTTGGAATTGTTGGTCATTGTATTGATCAGAGGAGATATGTCTTTCCCAGTACATTATTACACCATTGTTGTTACTGTGTACAATGTTCTGCTTCACTTTGTATCAGAGCAAACCTGTTTTCCCAGGTTTTCCTGAAGCCAGCTCCTTCATCATTTCTTACCACACAGTAGTATTCTATTACAATCCTACATGTGGTGTTTACTTTAACCTTTGCTCTAACCAGTCAATGATTTGGTTGCATACACACGGTTGATTCTATAGCAACTGCTATGTTTGTCATCAGTTGTTTTCTGTCTGATAGAATATTTTATGGATTTCATTTTTTGTGCTCACCAAGGACAGTGATAAGTAGTCCATGAACTTTTGTTCTTTTGTCAAAAGTTTTTCTGTTTTTCTTTGAAAATCCCCATGTTTGCAATGAATTGATTAAGTATCAAAGTCCATGTTAGTTAAGCTGCAATCATCTTTACAGTGATATGTTTGCTTATGCTTACCTGGAGCACTGAAAATCAGGAGGACAAAATATCCCATACCAAGTTAACCTTTCCTGCCTTTGGGCTAGCGAGTGAAAAAGCAAAGTAAAACAAAAACAAAAAAAACCCCACCTCTCCAATTGTTTTGTTTTCTTTCTGTTCTTAAAAATATCTAACATGGGGCAGCTAGGTGGCGCAGTGGATAGAGTATAGGACCTGAGTTCAAATCCAGTCTCAGATACTTACTAGCTGTGTGACCTGGGCAAGTCAATTAACCCTGTTTCTTTATTTGTTTTTTGTTTATAGGCAGTTGGGGTTAAGTGACTTGCCCAGGGTCACACAGCTAATGTCAAGTGTTTGGTCTGAGGCTGGATTTGAACTCAGGTCCTCCTGACTTCAGGGCCAGTGCTCTATCCACAAAGCTGTCCCCAATTAACCCTGTTTGTCTCAGTTTCCTCATCTGTAAAAATAAACTGGAGAAGGAAATGGCAAACCACTCCAGTATCTTTGCCAAGAAAATCCCAAATGGGGTCACCAAGAGTCAAACACAGCTGAAAATGACCAAACAGCAACAGTAGAATATTATGGCAAAAGACTGAAAATTTAGTAGAATTCAAAACTTAAGGTCCATGTCAAAGCACCAGTAGAGAAAGCAATTTAACTGGAAATCTGAAGTTTTGAGGTATCAGTGCTGGCTCTGCCAACAACACCTTGTATAACTGAGGGCAAATCACTTAGCCTTTGTGGACCTCCATCCCCATAAAATGAGGGAGTTTGGAACCAGATGACCTTTATTGGCCTTTTTAACTTGAAAGAGCTTGTCATTCTATGCTATGATTTTATGTTTATGCTTTATTTTAATCGTACTATCTATGGGAAAATTAATATGATAAGATATCCTTTTAAGACTTGAGTGGGGCTGTGATCCCATTGACATGGGTTCTCCTGCCCCCAGAGCAGGGCCTTGTTCTAGGTCTCCCCATCACTATTATAGCACATGGATAATTAATTCTTTGCTCTTCCTACATTTTCTGTTCACACATCTCTGATGGTATCTTTTATGCCACTTAAATAAATGTAATTTCACCGTTCATTAGGTAATTTTCTGCAGCCTACTTATACCCACTGTGCCAAGCCCATGTTCATCTGCAGCATCTGTCCCAGATATAAAATCATAAGTTCATAGTCTTAGGGGAAAGGGATCTTAGAGGTCACTGAGTCTACCTTCTTTCTCATACCAGTAAGGAATCTGAGGCCCAGAGAGATTAAGTGACTTAACAAAGCTCAACCCAGGTCTTACCCCATATTGACTGCTCTTTCCACTGAGTAGGACTGGCATTTTATGGGTGGACCTCATTATTGGTTTTCCATCCAGCTGCATATAATTGTCTGGGCAGTTAGCTTTCTTCATCCATAGGATTCTTCCTGTGTATATAGTTAGGCCATACTCTTTTGAGTAATCATGGAATGTTGATGATTTGAAAATTAGTCTTTATTTCAGAGAAAAGTTTGAGGGGCACAGAAAGCAGTGTCCATTTCTTTTCAAATGTAGTCCAGCAGAACGGTTTTAGAGAAACCTTGGAAGACTTGCATGAACTGATGGAAAGTGAAATAAATAGAATTAGAACAATTTATACACTGACAACATTGTAAAGGCAAACAACTTTGAAAGACTTAATAACTTTGGTCAATTCAGTGTCCAGCCATAATTCTAGAGGACTGGTGATAAAGCATGCTACTTGGCTCCTGACAGAGAGGGAATGTATTCAAGTTGCAGATAACACACACACACACACACACACACACACACACACACACACACTTTTGGATGAGGCAGTTAGGGTTAAGTAACTTGCCCAGAGTCACACAACTAGTGAGTGTGTATGTGTCTGAGGGCTGGATTTGAAATCAGGTGCTTTTGACTCCAGGAAGGTGCTCTATGTGCTGTCCCAGCTAGCTGCCCTCTTAGACATATATTTTGGACACAGCTGTTGTGGGAATTTGTTTTGCTTGACTATTCATATTTGTCTCAAAAGTTTTTTCTTCTTAATTTGAGTGGGAGGAGGAGGTAAGGGTAGCATTGCCATTAAAAAAAAAAGAGGATCATTAAAACATGTTTTTTGAAATGAATAGAAGAGGACAGAGAAAGGCCAAAAGGATCAACATAAAAGTTGGACAGCTTTGAAAGTAATATGCTTCATTTAACATATACTTAAAAAGAAGAGCAATTTGTTCTTAATGGAGATTGAGTTTCATGTACAGTCCTGTCTATTCTTTTGCATATATGGAAGTGCTTATTTTCGTTGATGTTTGTAAAGGTCAGAATAACAAAAACTGGGGGAAAACCTCCAACTGAAATCTGATTTACTCTCTCCTTCTTTCATTTCTGGGCCCAATTTGTTGTCAATCTGCTGTATCTGTCCAACATATATGTACTGATAGACTAGCTATGTAGGTTGTCCATTCTACTAATTATCATAGTCTTAACCATGGACATTCTTTAAAAAAAATGATCATTTCCTCCCTCACTTGTAACAAAAAAAGTACAGCTAAACAAAATAAATCCGTCCCGACAGGGGACATCCTTCATTTACTTGATTGTACCTGTGAACTCTTTTGTGGTTATGGACCTCATATAGGAGACCTGCTGTGTTCTAGGAATTGATGTATTCAGTACAAATGTCATCCATAAATAGGATTACCTAGAAGATCTTACCAACTTGGAGGAATAAATTTTATACTCTCTATTTTAGGCACAAGCCTGCCAGAAACAATTTTTATTAATTTAGACTATCCTAATTTAGGATTTTTACTTAGAAAGAAACATTGCCACCCTAGACCTGAAAATCTCTCTCAACCAAGCAGTTTGGGAGTTGTAGCATTATTGTGACAATAGATAAAATTCCAGAATGAGATAAAACATTGTTTTGGTGGTCAGGGTAAAGTTCAGTTAATATTTTACCTCATTAAACAGAGCAACAGTTATGTAATTTTCTGCACATCCTTGAGGAATTATTTTCTTAAAATCATTCCAGCCCTCTTTGACCATTCCCTCTAAGGATTCTCCATTCCAGCTGATCACTGTTGCTAGATATTTCCTCTCTACACTTCTGTTATTGACTCACTATTGTACTGTCCTGAGTGGCTCTTCCAAACCTTTTCATCATTACATGTGTGCTAAAACCTGTGATTCTTAGCATCTGCTGCCTAACCACACATTCTTGTTTTTGTTGTCTGCTTTTAGAATTCATTTTTTTTAGGATTTAAATTCTCATATTTTGGATGAGTATGCAATTATCATCCTTATACATAAGGATGGGAAATTTTTCCTACACACAGTTGAATGTGAGAGACAGCACTGACATAGTGAATGGGAGAAAGGCAGGCCACAGAGTCAGAAAGAGTTTGATTTAAGTCTTAAATTTTAAATCTTGAGAACTAAAACAAAACCTTTTTTTTACTTTGTAAATCCTTCCCTAACTTTCATAACTGGTGGTTAGGTAGTTTAAAAATGAAAGGTTTAGTGATAAAAGTCTGATATCTGAGTTATGTAAGAAAATGACACAAATATATAATACCAAGAACTGTTCTTCCCTAGATCAGTAGTCAAAGATTAACAGTTTTCAAAAGAAGAATTGCAAGGTATAGTAGATCCTTGGAAAACATGCTGCAAATAAGCATAGAAGGAACCTAGGTGGTGGAGTCTGAATGACCTCATTTTCATTGTGCATTGAATGTTTATTAGCTGTGTGTCCTTGGGGGAGTCACTTAACCTCTGAAAGTCTCAATTTCCTCTTCTTTAAAATGGGGATGATAATAATAACACCTTCCTCTCAAGGTTGTTGGGAGGACAAAATGAGATATACTGCATAAATAGCTTTTTGCAAATGACAATATAAATGTAGCTATTATTATTTGCTTTATCATATAATTAGTAATCAGAGAAATTCAAATGAAAGCAACTCTGAGATTGAATTTCACACTATGCATATTGGGGGAGGGAAGGGATAAGCATTTGTAGGGTGCTTGGCACTGTGCTAAGCACTTTACAGATATCTCATTTGATTGAATTGGGAAAACCGACCCCAAAATTGGAAAGTTTATTTTTGTAGGGTCTTTGCAAGATAGGCACACTAATATACTGTTTTTAGATCTTTGAATTGGCTCAGCTATTCTGCAAAACAACTTTTAATTAAGCAAGAAAAGTGTCTATATTGTCCATATCCTTTGCCTCATTCATCCTACCTTTGGGCATATATCTTGTATAATCCTATAGAAACAAAAGTCTAGTATGTGCCAAAACGCTAATTGCATCACTCTGTGGATTTCCAAGATTAGAAACAAAGTGGGTGCCCATGAATTGGAGAATGGCATCTGAATATAATAGACTGTTATTGTGCATTAAGAAATGTTAGAAAAATCTGAAACACAAATCTACTACAAGAGTGAGTGAAGGAAAGCCTACATTGGGCTTCTCCCTAGAGAGAAGCGGCACAGTGCACATTAGTAGCATGTGGGTGCTGGTTCAGTGCTACAATCAACTTTTAAATAGTAAGATCCATACGCCACCCACCAGGGCTAGCATTGGTCTAGTTCATCTGAGTTACACTCTTCCTGGACAACCCATGTTGTGTTCCTCCTTGTCATGTGTCGTCATGCCTCCCATGATAAAAAATGGCGGCTATCTCTGTCCGTGGGTGTGTCAGTCAATCTTTAATAAGCTTGTTAAGCAAGCACTATGGAGAAAATTGTTTGCCCTGTCCAGGCCCAGTCCTTTACCAGGATGGTTGCAACAGGTTTAGCCTCCAGGGCTGTTCAAAGGAACTAGTTGTTTACAGAATGTTTAGTACACTTTCTGATTGGTTGAGAGGCTATCCACAAGATCTTGGAATTCCTTATTCTGCTGTGGAAGCCTAACCCCCTAAAACCTTTCCTACAAGAAATGATGAGTGTATCTCTGGGCAAGACACTTAACCTTTCAGTGCCCCAAGCAAGCAAGCAAGTTTATAAGTTGTAGAGTGAAGATAAGGAGCTCTCAATACCTGGTTTCTTCATCTTTTCACTGAACATTTGCACAGTATTACCAAGAAAACTGATAAAGGGGAATTCAGAGAAACAGGGAAATGTTCATTTCATGGGCAATGTGAACTGATGCAGAGCAAAACATGCAGCATTAAAAGAATACTATAAAGTAGGAACACAATGATATAGATGAAAATTTAAAAGGAAGTTGGAAGGTGAGTAATTGGAAAACCAGTAAGGATTCCAGAAAACGGATCATGAAACGTAGTACCCTCCTCACATTAAAGAGGTAGGTGAGTTCTAGGGCCTAATGTTATATAAGTTGTCAGATGCAATCTCTATATCTCACGTTTTTGCTTAACTGTTTTTGTCACATGGTAGAGTTAGGGGTGGGGATTCCAAGAAATGACTTTGAGGTAAATACAATAAGAATCAATACAACTTTAAAAATTTATCACAAGATTTGTGGGTAATACCAATTGTAAAATCTGTAGTTTCAAAGGAATATTTTTGAGAAAATCAGCAGCAATTGGAAAATAATTTTGTCTAAGTAGGTCATTTAAAATTGTCGAGAAATGCAGGCATTACTCAGTTCAATTCAATAGGCATTTATGAAATGCCTTCTAAAACACTGGGGATATAGATTTTAAAAAAAGACTGTGTTCTCAGGGACTGCTTACAATCTAATGGGGAGGAGAGGAATTATATGGAGGGGAAAGGGGAGAGTAGCAGTGCAGCACCAGGGCATACCCAGCATGGGGGCGTCATGATGTTCTGTGGATTGGAAACCATGCAGATCTGCTGGTGGAAAATGGAGTTACCTGCAAAGTTCTGAGCTCTCTATAAAGGAAGGCTTTGGGAGGAGCGTATTGCTTTACCCTGCAGCCCTGTCATCAGAGGGGAGAGGCCACTGAGGGAGTTGAGAAGGTGTTGATTATCACAACCTGGGTCAGTCTGCATGGTGGTGAGATATCAGTTGATCAGCTTATCCTGGAGGAAGCATGATGTTGTATGGAGTGGAAGCTGAGCAGAACTGCTGATGGGAAATGGACATTTCAAGTGAATAAGGGAATGATTGCTAAAGGGAATTATTTTAGAAAATAATAGTTAAAAGAATGATTATTCAAAAACATTTTTATTGCCTCTTTGTTTATCCTACGTTATTTTAGGAACACATGGCACACCAGTGGCAGAGAATTTCCGTACAGAAGAGGCTAATTTGCCAGATAAATTAAATGCGGGACAAGTAAAAGCCAGAACTCTATATCTCTCTGTGGATCCTTATATGGTAAGTAGCAAGGTGCTGTGATTAAAATACCAATAATAATAGTAATAATAAATTTTATGAGGATAAGCTACATGTGAATATTGCATATTATTGAAAAGGGTATTAAAAGGGAAGAATTAGGCTTTACAAGCATAAACTGTATCTCAGCCATCACAGGATTGAGTGAAAGGGAGAGAGAATATACAATTCAGCTGTGCTTCTTGTTTGTTGATTATGAAAAAAAGCATTTCATTTAGTCAAATGAAATGCAGCCATACAGGCTTTCCTCTACAAGATATCTCTGTGTATATATCATAATTATGAGATTCCTTGGCATATATAAGAGATAACCTTTTCTTACAGTCCTGTGGCCTTTAATTTTAGGTGAGATATGTACTCACCTAAACATTCCACTTTGACATGGGGGAGCTTCAGCACAGAGTTCAAGTCAGAATGGGATTCCTTAGAGAAAGTGAAGTTCCCTAAATCTTCCTATTTGTGGCTGACATTGTAGTGAATTCATTTAGCCCTGAACATTGCACAGCCTCTCTTTACAAATACTTTATTTTTATTATGAATTTGACAAACATCAACATAAATTAACATTTTCTATAGAAAGAATAGAAAATGAAGATTCCTTATGAAATCTCTAATCCGTATAGTTTTTTTTAGTAGGTTTCTTCTCATTCAAACTAAACATGGTACTTCTAATACTGTCCTGTTTTTTCTATGTCCCTTTCTTCTTTCTTCTTTTTATTTTACAAAACAATTTGCTGACAGTTCTTTCTTACTTTCCTTTCTTTCTTTTTTAAGTATGGCTATCAGTACCGCCCTTTCTCCTACCAAAACAAAAGTCCTTCCTTCTAACAAGTAAATATGGTTATTCAAAACAAAGCCATGCACTGGCTCTTTCGGAAAATACATGTCTCATTCTGCACCTGTCGATCATCACATCTCTGCCAAGTCTTTATCAGTGTTCTTTGCATTGGTTTTAGTTATTTAATGTTTCACAGTTGTTTTTCCTTACAATGCTGTAGTCATTGTTTAATTAGATCTCCTGGTTGTGCTCATTTAGTTCTGTTTCACTTCATACAAGTCCTCGCAGGGTTCTTTAAGTCTATCCCGTTGCTCATTTCTTATGACAAAATAATCAATGAAGAAATATTTAGGGGCAGCTAGTGGCGCAGTAGATAGAGCTGAGTTCAAATCTGGTGTCAGACCAAAGGCTTGACACTTTCTAGCTGTGTGATCCTGGGCAAGTCACTTCACCCCAATTGCCTGAAAAAAAAAAGCAATATTTATCAAGTGCCTACCATGTGCCAGGCATATGTGCCACAGACAGGTAGGTGGCACAGTGAATAGAGTGCCAGGCCTGGATTCAGGAAGATGAGTTCAAATTCAGACTAGATACTTATCAGCTGTGTGACACTGGGCAAGTCACTTAACCTCTTTTCCTCAGTTTCCTCATCTGTAAAATGAACTGGAGACAGAAATGGCAAACCACTGCAGTATCTTTGCCAAGAATATCCCAAGTGGGTCACAAAGAGTTGAACACAACTAAAACTGGTCAACAACAACATGTGCTAAGCACTGGGGATACAAAAAGAGGTGAAAGATAGTCCCTGCCCTCAAGGAGCTTACAATCTTTTTTTTTTGAGCTTACAGTCTAATGAGGGAAACCACATGCAAACAAATATATACAAAGCAAGCTATGTTCAGGAGAAGTAGGATATAATGAATAGAAAGAAGGCCCTGGAATTTAGAGGGGTTGGGGAAGGCTTCCTGTAGGAGGCAGAATTTTGTTTGGGACTTAAAGGAAGCCAGGGAGGTCATTGCATTCATGTCCCATAATTTGTTCAGCTACTGTATGCTGCTGTAAATATTTTTGTGCATGTTGGTCCTTTTCCTTTTTCTTTGATCTTTTTCGAGTATAAGCCTAATAGGGGTATCACTGGGTCAAAGAAGAAACACAGTTCAGTAATATAGTTGAATGTAATTCCACATCACTTTCAAGAATGGTTAGACCACTTCACACCACTTCTAGTGGTTCATTAGTGTGCCTTTCCTGCCTTAACCCTTCCTATAATTGTAATTTTCCTCTCTTGTCATTACTAATTTTCATTTGCATTTCTTTCATTGTTATTGATTTGAGGCATGTTTTCCACATAATTCTTGATAGTCTGCTTCTTTGGAGCACTGCATGTTCATCTCCATTGGCCTTTTGTCCCTTAGGGAATAGGTTTGGTTCTTACATAGAGTTTGGATAGATCTTGGATCTCAGACCTTTATCAAAGAAATTTGCTGTGAAGATTTTTTTTTATTTTCTTAATTGTTTTTCTTCTAATTCTAAATGCATTTATTTTGTGCAAAAATCCCTTTGATTTTATATAATTAAAATTGTGGTTTTTGTCTTCTGTGATAATCTCTATCCTTTGGTCAACAACTGTTTTCTCATAGTGGTGAAAGTTCTCTCTTTTCTTACTCCTGTAATTAGTTAATATTATATAATTTTTTGAATCTAGGTCTTGTGTGCCTATCTTTTTTACTGTAAAGTATGTCTTGATAGCTGGACTCTCATTTTGATGCATTTGATAGTTATTTTTTAAAAATTTCTCTCTTCCCCTTGTTTGGTAATATAGAGGAAAGCTGATGATTTTTGTGGATTTATTTTATACTCTTTTGTTTCCTGAAATTGTTGATTGTTGGCTGTGTAGTTTCAATAAATCATTATGTCATAAGCAAAAAGTCACAATTTTGTTTCCTCTTTGCTTATGTTTGTTCCCTTAATTTCTTTCTTCTTATTGCTATCACTAGTATTTCTACACCTATATAAAATGTCTTGAGAATAGACATCTGTGCTTTACCTCTGATCTTCCTGGAAAAGACTCTAACTAGAGAGCCTCTTAAAAACAATCCACAAGTATTCTAAAAATTTTGGCCTACTGGCCAGATTATAATATGCAGCTGGATGTACAGCCTAGAGATTGTCCATCAGTCTGTGCAAATTAATTGACCCTCATATTGAACAGGGGATAGCATGCTATATTCCCTTTGAGAAACCACAGAGGTTTTTTGTTGTTTTCTTGTTCTTTTCTTTTTAGTGATTCAGACCTTTTCTAGGAGACTAAGGTTAATATTTTTTAAATTTAATTTACTATTTATTTTTTACATTCTATCCTTTTTAAATTTTGAGTCCCCAATTCTCTTACTCCCTCCCCCTACTGAGAGAGAAAGCAATACAATATTCATTATACATGTGAAATCATGCAAAACATTTCCAAGGGCATCAGTATTCTTCTAGTGGTGGTGTTCTGCATTTCAATCATGGAATGCTGCAGTCTCTGCAAAACTAACACTGAAAATCATCCAAAGAAGGAAGTAATTTCATTGCATTTTGTAGATTGTGTGATTAATTTAGAAAGCCCTAAATAATCAGCCTTTATGAACTGAATTAATTAATCATTCAACAAAGTTGTAAGATACAAAAATGTAATTGAATACTAATGTGCCATAAGAAACTACTAGGATAAAGAATTGGTTGGGGGGGAAGAATTGAGGAAACCAAGGGAAGATATGTGAATTGATGCAAAGTGAAACAAATTGAAACAAATATATATCTATATGTATACACACACATACACACACACACACACACAATATAAATGGAAAGAATAAAAAAGTACATAGGAATACTACATGATTATAATGACTGAGTTTGTCCCTGAAGAAGAGATGAGAAAATATACCTCCGTCTCTTACTTGTAGAAGTAGAGGGACTATAGTTATAGAATATTTCATAAACTGTCAAACTGGGCTGATGTGTTCATTGGGGTTTGTTGTGATGCTTTTCCCCCCTTATTCTTTGCTATGAGAAATGTTTCTGCGTAAGGAAGTATGGAGCCGTACATTTGGAAATGAAGTTGATGTATAAACAGATGATATCAACAAAACATTTTATAAAGGAGGAAAATGTATGCAAGGGATAATAGTTAGCCAGCCTGTATAATTCCCTCATTCACTGAAGCATTCATTACGTTCTTAATAAGTACCAGGCATTGTGCTAAACACTAAGAATACAAGGAAAAAGGAAAAAAACAGTACATTCCCAAAAGGAACTTATAGTGGTATCATCATGATGTCCAGATAGTGCATGCCCCTAGAATCATGGGTGGACCTCCTGTAAGTTCACCATAGGACAAGAATCACATAGGGTAGAGAGGCATCAATGGGCTGTACTTTTCACCCTTAGAGTATGTAATATTGAGAAGACCACAGGTCTCTTAGAGCTTCCAGTCTCCAAAGTAAGGTATTACTGGCATTATGCCAAGGGGTTTGTGATCAGTCGGTCAGAGGGTAGGAAGATGAATCACTTCTCACCCTGCCCATAATAGCCAATCAAAAGGCTTGTTTCCAGCACAACTGTACCAGTTCCTATGCCTTACCACTCCTTTGTTCCTTTCCATCCTTCTGCTGTGCAAGCTCCTAAGCTCCCCACCTCAGACCTGGAGGGGGAAGGAGTGATAACCTAGCTGGGATCCAAGTATCCATAGCAATGGCAGTGAAAGTGCCTCTGGGAAAATCCCTCTTCACTGCATAGCCACCATTTGGCAGACACCCCTTGGAGGGTAAGCTCTACTTTCTGAGACCAGAACCAGGAGAGTGAAAGCCTACCTCTTTCCTTGTTACTTTGGGTGGGGCAGTCAACAAGTTGAACAAGCATAGAAAAGTTTGTCTCATTACATTATCTTTCTGCCAAATGTCTCCTTTTCAAACATTTCTGTTACCATTGAGGACACAACCATCCTTCCATTCACTTAGGTTTACAACCTAAGTGTCATTGTACACGCCTTGCTCTCCTTTACCTCACATATCCAGTCAGTTGTCACATCTTGTCATTTCTGAATCCACAACCTCTCGCCTTTTCCCCATGTACACAGCCACAGCCCTAGTACAAGGCTTCATCACCTCATGTTCAGACTATTGCAGTAGTTGAAAGCCTCTCCTCACTCCAGTCCATTGCT